CCGCAACGAGGAGGAGAGGGAGGACGGCATCTTCCCCCGCTTTTCCCGATGACATATTGATGACAAGCCGCTCTCCGCTCACCTCGCCACAGTATTGATTCTTTTACGAACGGTCGGCCTTGGCGGAGCAAGAGAGGAGAGCGACATGATTCGAACAGGCCAGACCGCCTCCCAATCCCATTGCGCGGCCCTGCTGCCGGAGCATCTCTCTGCCTGCCTCGCGCTCGTTAAAGTACTGGAAAAACTAATGATTCAGTTATTCGTCCCAGGTACGCCTCATTGTAGCTCTCCTTTCCCCACATTCTAAACTGAAAGAAAATCTGGAAGCTTTTCCACTTATCACAGTAGACCAAATATTTTTCCCAAAAAAAGGAACTTATCAACTTATTCTTAAATTTTTCCCGTGACGAGGATTGCCGCACTCGAACGTCTTTAGCCTATTCTGCCGCGCGTGGTTTACGAGTTTAATCAGCCGACCGTTGGGCTGATCACGCTGGCGGCCAGTCCCTTTACCCCCGTGGCATGGCATGGCGTAGTTAGTTGTTTACAGGCGGTTGATTTTTTTAGCGTTTTTAATTTTGAAGTTTGTTCGTTGGCAGTCGTGAAATGGATTTCTGTGCTCGCGCGTCGACATGTTTACAGCCTCACTGGACGGTGCAAAGCTGAGCAGTCTATCCCTTTTCTAATAACCTCAGCCTACAGGAGGCCCCTAGTCGGTGCCGGTCTAGCCATTTGGAGCCCCGACGCCCGACGCTGGAACTAAAAAAAAATTGCATGTCGTTCCGGGCGCTTTTTTTTCTCCGTTCTGGCTTCTGTGTAGCCTATTACATGTCGACGCCTCTACCTACGCATCAGCCACGTTTAGTTCTGTACTGATTTACGCACGTATCGGATCAGGGAGAAGGTCAGTTTACGCGATTTCTTTAGCAGGCCTTAAAAATGTTAGGGACCAATCTGAACTATTCCCCCAATTTTCGCAACACTACCAAAATCACCCGAAAATATAGGTTTTGTCTTTCTTGTGAGCACTCACTAAACATGCAGCCTGATCGTCATTGTTCGCCGAGCGACCTGCTCGCTGCGTGCTTTTTGCTACCCTTGTAGCGCGCGGCGTGGCGTATTGGGTGCGGTTCACCGGAGCAGTCCTCCGAAAAGGTTAGAGGCTCGACGGCGGCGCCCTGCAACGCGCCTCCCCGCCGGAGCCGCCAACGCCGCGCCACGAAACAGACGATAAGCAGTGGAGCAGGCCTACCAACTGACGGATTGATAGTGACAGCAGCTCACGTGCAACAATCTGCGCCCGCGCCTCTCTCTCTCTCTCTCTCTCTCTCTCTCTCTCTCTCTCTCTCTCTCTCTCTCTCT